GCGATAAGACGTTAAACCAAGAACACTTTTATCAAATTGAGCTCTACAACGGAACAAAATTATTGGTAGAAAGCTTATTGTTGGTAAAAAGACAAATGGAAGTAGAAAACTACACATGCGTAGGAACAGGAAACATAACAGGAACACCAGCGTTTTGCGCGAACCATCGTTGCGTAGAGAAGGGCACAAAATTTTGCTTTTACGAAAACAACGAAATTACCTTCTTCACGTACAGACAACAAAGGATACCAATCAGAGCTTGGGGCAAGGTTGAACAAAAATTTTATGGATTTCCAAAAGTGGATGAGAATACAAATTGTAAGATGTGCTCAGCCAGCTGTATACAGGGAGGTATAGTTGTGAAACTAACAGAGGAAGTCCGCATAATTGAGATATGTACCGATCCCTATTGCATAGTTAAGAAGGCACCCCAAAATTATCAAGAAATTATGCTTCCCCAGGAGGTGGTAATCAAAGAGTACAGTCCACTAATTACAGTCTGGCAAAAGGAAAAGCCAACAAAAAGAATTTTGTTAAAATGCTCAGCTGCACCATTATGTGAATTTATCAAATGCTATTTTTGTAAAGAAGCAATTTTTAATCCGCAATGCGCTTCCAAGTGGGAATTAGGAATTGTACTAATAACGCTATACATAATAATGTTATGCTTATACACGGGAATAAAGATAATGAAGGTAGCGTCGAGCCCTTTACTAAGTTTTATCAGACTAATTTTGAAGTTCTCCATCTTTGCTTGCAAACGAAGGGAAGCTAATGTTACTAGCCATAGAGAGCGTAGTGAAAGAATGAAAAGGTTTTGGAATGAGGCCAAAAGACAAAATTGGACGTTAGCCAAGTGGGTTGGGATTGCGATAGTCTTAGGAACAGCCCAATTTTCAAGCGCCTGTGTAGAAATGGTAGCGTTAAATGTAGAAAGCAATAGATGCAGCATAAATAAAAAAGGCAGCGAAGAATGTATAGTAGATGAGAAAATAAGAGTATCAGTCTCTCCGCAAGGTCAAGAAATGTGTCTTTTAATAAAAAATCCTATCGGAAAAGTGATGGGCACAGTAATTATAAGAATTGACAAAATCAACATTGTTTGCCAGAAGGTTACAGAATACTTTACGAGATCATATAAAATGAAGACAGTATCCTCTAAAAGATGTCCAAGGGCAGGTTCTTGTATAAATGAAAAATGTGCAGGAATTAAGATAACAGATAAGATACATGAATTTGAAGGAGAACCGAATGACAACCTAGGCTTTACACACTGTCAAGAATCGTGCGGATGTGCTGGGTGTGGATGTTTTCTTTGCTCTTCGGCGTGTCTTTTCTACAGGAACTACGTATATCCTTTAAGCAATACAGTATACGAAGTGTTTTCGTGTCCCGTATGGACCTTTTCAGTTACAGCTTTAGTAAAAGTGGAGCAGCAACATCAGAATTACGAGGAAATGGTACTAATTAGGGAAGGGCAAGACACTAAGTTGGGACCCTTAAAGTTACAATTAGTGAACGTTGATATTCCGCCCTTGCCAATACTTGGAAAAAACTTCATGACTAATGGAAGACAGACAGTTATGTTATCAGCATCGCCAGCTGGGATGAAGTTAGCAGGAATGGTGGGAGCACTACAATGCCGGAGTAGAACGGAAGCGGAGAAGTTTCACTGTTCATTGCCGCATGGGACATGCCAATGCATAAATGGGGAGGAGACAGTGTCATGCACTTGCTACGATCATGACTTAGAACAAATCATGGTACTGAAAGATCTTCTGCTACCCGTAATCGCGCCTGGCCTAACAATTGAACAAGGTGAAAATGGGATAGAAGCAAAGGCGGGGTACGTAGGAGCACTTGAGTTACAAATAGGCATCAACGGAATGAAGCTAGTTAGCAACATAGAGGAGAATGAATGTGACCTGAGGATAATCCAATTGGAAGGATGTTACAACTGCTTGTCAGGAGCAAAACTAACTTATGAGTGTAGGACCAATTTTGGAAGTGCCACTGCTCATGTAACCTGTGGAAAGCTACAATTCCTAGTCAAGTGTTCGGAAAATGCGAGAAGAGAAGTGGTCACCCTAGCTTTTTCGGAAGCAAATATCGACGTTGAGTGCAAAGTAGAGTGTCCTGCGAAGAGTAGTCAAGCTCTTCTAAAAGCAAAACTCAGCTTTGTTCGCGCACCGACGCTAATACATATGTCAAATTTCATAAGTAACAATGAAGGTAAAATCCCTTGGGTACCAATGAATATCTGGTTTTGGGCACTCGGGGACCGATTTCAGGTAATTATCATCATGATCACGCTGTTAATTCTTTTCATGTATTTAGCAATTCGGATGCTAACCAGATGGTATTGCAGGGATACAGTATCCTTTAAAAGTAACGAAAAACTTTTGTAAAATAAGCAGTTCCTTTTTAGGCAAATCTTTGGAAGACCGTGAACAAAAAAAGAAGACTAAATTGGACTGAAGTTCGAACGCTCGGATCATCTCTTAACTATCACGTAGCGCAGGTGCAACCAGCATGCTTCATTCTAGCGTTAGATTTAAACAGCATAGAGGAGGAAAGACTAGATCAAATTCCTCTCATCATGAGATTAGACAGAAGTCCTACATTGGATTTGCATGTTTTTGACACAATTGAAGTTAGATCATATAGACAAGTGGTAATCGGAGGAAAGCTCACGGAATTACAAACGGAGAGGACGACAAGAGTCAAGGACTGTGTGGTACGAAGCCTAATCCGGGCCAATGCCACAGTGCACGACTACAAGTGTTCACAACTCGTAGATGTAGAGAAAATTCCAGCGTTGGTGCAACTATCCAATAAGAACTATTACAAGAAATTAACCATAATTGCCGAAGGAGTAAGAGGAGAAGTGCCTGTAAGGGAGACTGAGATACATGTAGATTCCTTTCCTGGAGCAGGAGAGTGGGTAACACTCGAAGTTTCAGTTCTTCCGGAAGAGCAGTTAGAATACGAGGTTTATTGGAATGATACATGGTATAGATATTACCTAAATGGAGAGTATGAAGACAAGGAAACGGGAGCAAGAACAATAGAGAAAAACCGGTATCATCCAATAAGAGCGTTAGCATATCAAGGAGCAAGAGTCCAGTATAATGAACCGTTAGCACAGTTAGTGACAGGGAGTAT